TATCTAGAACTTCGTAAAAAATCTGTGAATGGAAAAAATAATAGACACTTGTTCACCAACTTTGAAAACCGACCAAAATCTCGCCTATACATCGCGTTGTTTAAAGGATAAAAGAAGAAATAAGCCACAAAGTGAGCAATATATCGCTTCCGATACGCTGTCCACTTAAAAAAATTGTGTATGCCTCATGAAAAGTCTTTAAAATATGCCTGAGAGCCTCGAAACGATGACTGATTCTGTCCGCCTCCGTCTGTTGTTTTGAAAATTTTTGATCACTGGGGCGATGTTTTGTTTTGTTTGTTGATAAACACAAGCGCGCCCTCTCATTGGTTGAAAAGTGTCGCGTGACCAGTTGGCCCTGTCCTTAAATTTAGGGATATTCCGGACTGGTCATAGACTCTTTAGTCCACTTGTTTCTTTGAGTTGTTTACCCTCGATGAAGTCATGCCATCTTTAGCAGTTGAAGAGACGGGCAAAAATTGACTGGTTGGCCAAACGTCTATCCATGATCAACACCACCAAATATTTTTAACAGCAGTCTTCAGCCTTGAATGTCAACTGCATACAAAATAATGAATAGATACAAAATATACTGTAGCTTTTGTAGGTATCAACGATCTTGAAAAGACATTTAGGGTAAAACTGTAGAAGCCTTTACAAGCCAAATGTAAAAAAAGCGATAAGCTAAGGGTGGTTTTACTGAGATGCGTTTTATTTGCAGGTTAGTTCGAAAGAGGCATCTTAGCTCAGTTTCAAGAAAACAAGCTGGCATTTGAAATTAAATTTTCAAATTTGTATTAAGGAACTTTTATGGTTAACCGCTTATTTTTTTACCGTGTTATAATCCTGCATGGAAGCATGGAAAACTGAATTGAGCCAGAAGTGGTTTTCTTCACAAAAAAAGGAAAATTTTGTCGCGCCTGCACTAGTTTTCCGAACGCTTTTTTTTTCCTTTTCAGTCTCTTGAGTTTCGTTCTTGCCAACCTGTTCGAATGAAGTCTGCCTCTGTCACTGTTCGTCGATTCAAGCTCACATGAAGCTCTTCGCGTGATTGCCGCACCTTCAGACAGTTATAAAAACGCCGTTGAAACCAAGACAAGTTTCAAGCTGCATGCAGTTTAATTCCGGTCAGATGTTTTGCAATTATAGCTCCCGGCTCAATACAAGAACAAAATACACACATGAACACTTCTTTCAGTTCGTCAGTTTCATTTAAAAGACGCCATTTGGTCTTTAACAAAGGATGTAAGCAGATAAGGAAAACGTATATAGTCATTACACTTAAAAGTGGAAATGATAAGAAGTTTGAAAATTTGCTAGCTCTTGGTCGCTGAGGGTTTATAAAATCGCCACCGAAACCACAAAACCTACCACATAGTTTCTTTTTTCCGTAGGTACGTTTAACTAGTCATTATTTCAAGCTAAGACGAGGAAAATTTCCTGTTCTGAATATATTTATTAAGTTTCCACTCTATAATCTCTCTAAACGCATGTGAAAGGTCTGAAAGGTGCGTGTCTCCCGCAATATCTGCGTACCTATGATCTGTATATCTATTGGTCTATAAAGATTTCTGAAGAGAGTCTCTATAGGACAACTGAGAACGAATTATGCTTCTTCAGATTAAAAACTGAGAGTTACGATGGATCTGTTATGTCCTGCAGATGCCCATAAAACTGAGGATACAAAACGTTGCCTGGAGATGGACCAAAGGAAAGGCTGGCCAAAACCAAATGACGGAGGCCAGCGATGGAGGAACCTCTGTATTGTGTGACGCACATGCCAACTATAAGAAGAGGCACGGTTAAGCTACTCGGGACCTTATGTTCCAGTCGACTAGAATAATTTAGCAACAGAACGGGAACGTCAGTCAACAACGGCGCGCGCAAATCAGACAACTGGCTTGACCGATGGTTGAGCGGCAAATTGGGCACTGGAAGTCGATCGAGTTTAGTCCTTTCCGTGCCCCTTCCCGTAGTCAAATGACGTTCCCGTTCTGTTGCTATATCAGCCTTAGAGAGATTAAGAGTCACGTTTACCAAAGGACAGGCAGGCCAAAACCAAATGACGAAGGCCAGCGATGAAGGAACTGGAAGAGATGAATCTCTCTATTGGGTGAAGCACATGCCAACTAAAACACGAGGCAAGATTAAGCTAATCGGGACCTTATGTTCCTGTCGGGACTAAGATAGTAGAGAGATTAAGAGTCACGTTTACGGCAAACGTGAGCTTGTACCACGTGACCAAGTTTTCCCTAAACTTGGACTTTGCTGTTTATTACTTATACTTCACATTAGTTCTGTGTATAAGAATTGTTCTTGACTGTTTCTAGATGCACGTTTTCTATTATGAGAAATCTGACGTTGGCCGTTTGCCGTAAACGTCACTCTGACAAGCCAAATGGTTTTCATATGTCGGGAAAATCCCAGACGATCGGGGCTTTTACTTTTTGCCGACCGTCCCAGATATATCGGATAATCGCCAAATTCTGTCTCTAATTCTACCGATGAATTTGGCCGGAAATGGCAAGTGCGCAAAAAATTGAAATTTGGGTGATGAGGGGACTGGAGCCTAGCAATTTGGTGGATTGGTAATGAGCGAAATCCATCGCCGACGTCCCCGACGGTGCAAATTTGAGTTTTCATTTGTCGGGAATGATCGCCGACCACCCGCGCAGAAATCTGGGACGCGTCGGGAGATAGAAACGCTCCCGATTCTCCAGATTTGTCCCCGTCTATCCCAGCCGATCGGGATATCTAAGATTTCGAGTTTTCATTAGTCGGCATAATCTAGGACAGTCGGGAAACAGTAAAATTTCCGATCGTCTGAGATTTTCCCGACATATGAAAACCAGGCTTAAATAGAGACCTTTAGAATCAGGTTTTTCATGAGAAACCGCAAACTATTGGATTTCAAATTTTATTTTTAGTTTAGTGCCGACATGTTGTTTTTCGTCAAGTCGAAGTGCATCACCTTTATAGCCCAAAACACATAAATAATTCATTGCCTCGAGATCAAGAATCTAACTAGCACATCGCAGGCGGATGTAGAAAGCTACCTCGTGCCTTTAAACGTGAGGATGCACAGTTGTTAGTGGCAAAAAATCCTTGCCTTAAGTCACTTACCGCTGGAAGCCCCTCCTGTCATTCAAGCATGAACTGCAAACGGCAAAAGCGACCGCAAGGCCGGGGTCACGTGACATTCTCAGGTTTGCGGTTTCCCATGAAATACCTGATGTTATAAAGGTCTCTTTTATCTCTTGTAAGTAAGTAACGTTTAAATTGGTGGTTAACTACACAGGTATTTCATATGACTACTTAATAAACTGATCACTTTATGAGCTACATCTTCCACCATTCGGGAATAATGCTTGATTATCTTTGCTTCACAATTTATCTTCTTGCTGGTTAAATCATAACATTTGTTGAGTTTTTCAGCGTCTTGGCAGATCTGGTGATCCTTCATTATTACGGTGACGTAGTATCGGACGCACTGTCGATGAACTGTCACGGCGCACTCTTCAAAAAGATCTTTCTCTGTCAAAGAGAGCATACCAGGTTTTAGTAAAATACTTTGGAGGTGGGTTTAATGTACTGTTTAAAAAAACGAACAGAATGTGCCTCGAGTTTTTAAAGCTTATAATACACGACCTCGAGTTTTTTGAACGGCTTCAAAATCTCTGATACAGATCAACTCATTCTTGCACCAATATTTTGATTTGGGGTTATTTTGGTCTAAAAAATTGGACGCTAAGTTTAGCAGTGTCTTTATCAGATATAAAGATACTCATTAAACATTAATTTCTTTTTTTGTCTTTAAGAGTTATTTAATTAATGAGTTTTTGAATTATGTGTAGGCCTCATGAACTGGAGAGTTAACATCAATTAATAATAATAATAATGATAATAATAATAATATAATAATAATAATAAAACATCATAATTAATAATAATTTTATTCAACTTCAAAAATATGTACATAATATACAGAAATATCTGAAGTAAGAATTAAGCACTATATAACATTAAGAATTACGTAAATCATAAAAATGCAATCACTGTGTCAATAACGATTTCCCAAATACATTCCCTGCGGCTCAGATGCGGTCAATACCTCTTGCTGGAAGCCCAGAGTTTTAAATAATAGTAATAATAATAACAATAATAATAATAAAGGAGGCTGAGATCCTAGACATCGCTTTCCCTTGAGATGCACGAGTAAAAGACAATGAACTGGAGAAAATAGAGAAGTACCAATTTCTTCGAGAAGAAATAAGAAAGTTGTGGAAGCTCTAGAAAGAGACGGTAATGTGCCAATTGTGATTGGGGCATTAATAGCTATATCCGATTTGTTTGACAAATACGCGGGGAAGCTTAACGTTACCATCAGACTTGCAGTGATCCAGAAAGCTGCTCTGTTGAGAACAGCTGGACTATTACGGAACGTTTTGGATATTTAGGGACTCAAATGTAACGACTCCTTTGGGACGTTTAGGAACTTGTTGTTGGTTGCTTCCAAGGGTTATTTACCAGGCAATGTAAACCTTTTAAACCTGAGATTCCATAATGTAATAATAATAATAATAATAATTTTTCTTAGTTACATTAACTTTTTTTAAGCTAAATTAAGTGCTTTTTAATTCGACGGGAATTGTATATAGTGTTTTTGAATGAATAGTTTTTTCTTTTTTTTTTTTTAAGCGAATTAATTGTAAATAGGATTTTAATAGTTAGCATTTTTTTTAATAAAATTTCTTTTTATTATTATATTATTTTTTTTAAAAAAAATAATAAAATAATAATAATAATAATAATAATAATATAATTGTGATAATAATAACAAAAAATTTTTATTTTTTATGTTTTGATTTTTTTTTTTTTTTTTTGATATGAATTGTTTTTTTTTTTAAAATATTTTTTTTTTTTTCATTATTTTTTTTTAAGTTATTTTATGTGTTTTTTTTTTTGATATGTTTTTTATATTGTTTTTTTGTATGTATTTTTTTTTTTTTTTTTTTTAAGCGAATTAATTGTAAATAGGATTTTAATAGTTAGCATTGTTGTTAATAAAATTTCTTCTTATTATTATATTATTTCTTTTAAAAAAAATAATAAAATAATAATAATAATAATAATAATAATATGATTGTGATAATAATAACGAAAAAATGTAAAACATTTAAGGATAAAGGGCAAGCTTCTAAAACATGAGTTTTCGGAGACGACATGTCACCATTATCAAAATGCAAATGAACAAAGACTATTTTAATAGACATTATTTAAAATAGAAAACTAAGGTTGAAAACCTTACATTAAAATAGAAATTAAATACTGGCGAAACTTTTCACCTTGTTTTAATTGCGTTGCTGTTAATAAATTGTACCTAAAATTGAACTGCGACAAGGCAAAAAATATAATCTTCTACAAGCTTGTTATGACTAGTTACTAGGTTTTTTAACTCGAACCAAACTCAAACTCCCATTCTTCACGTATTTTTAGGCCATAACCTGAATCTGCAAACGCAAACTGCAGTTTTAAATTTGCGGCTTCCCGAGGCTTCGCATGAAAAGTTTTAAGTTAAAGGTCTCTGATAAATATGTGTATAATTATATCTTCGATTAACGAATACTGAAAGCTAGAACATTCTCTTACCGACGTCATCTATGTAGCGATGAGCTTCAGCTACCTCTGTAGAAAAATATGAAAGGAAATAAATCAATTGATGAAAGAGATACCAAAAATAGAATTTACAATTATACGTTTGATATCATGCTGGACAGGTTCTCCTCAAGATATCTAAAATAATGCACTTTTATTGCTAGTTCGCAGCTCGATTTTCACATAATCTACTTTGGCAACAAGGGTGTCGTTTGAGTGGATGAAACTTGATAGACATTAACAGTAAAAACCCCATAAATGTGATTTGTCGAGAATGGTTTGGGTCCTTTAGTCAAATTCTTGTCAGGAAATCTCAACTAATCAGGACAAAGATATAATCTAGTTTTAGTTGTAACTAGTTCAAACTATGGAAATAAGCAAATATTTATGAGGCATTATGAAGCTGTAAACAGAAGCCCCTACTGTAAGACATAAAAAGTCTGATAAAGGAAAACCACACCAAAAAATAAGTGGGTATAGTGACGGATAGTTAATAAACCTGGATTACTCTAAGGGACGGACCATTAGTTATAGCATGAATATTTTTTAGGATTAATTGGCGTGGAAGAATTTTTTTTTCATTTAATTTTCCCTTGCGCGAATTTTTTTTTTGTACTTCGCCCGCATCCCCACCCCCCACCCACCCCATAAGTTTTCTAATGGTCCGTCCCTAAGTAAAAACCACAAACTGATCCTCACTGTGAAGAACTGAGAGATAAGATATTATTTATCTAATCTTAAAATTTAAGTCTTAGAAAGATAACTAAAATGTTTTCTCTTTTATTTCCGTATCCATCTCTGGATCAGTGTAACGTCTTTATTCCGGCCCAGATACTATACTGAAACATACTTGTATTTCGTACAATGTTCTTTAGACCACCATATTGCATGTTCGGACAGACTTCCAATATCTTATCCATCATAGCCATTTGTAACATCCAATAGCGAAAGTTATCAATCAGTTGTCCATGACAGTCAGTAACACCTGACAGACACGTGACCATCCCCTGAAATAGACACGAAGATTATTAGCGCTTTTTTTTTCTTTTAATGAGGCTACCCCAATAAAATGTTTCTTTTCCCATCGCCCCGTCTCTTGTGATGGTGGGTCGGTCGGTCGGTCGGGCAAGAAAAAAAATAGAATGAACACTTGAAGGGGTCTGGGTCCCAGAGAAGGCCGGGCTGGTATGTAAGAAATCAACTCAAAAACGTGGTCTTTTCGACTATGAAAATGTCTAAACAGCCTTTAAAAAACGTAGTATCGATGTTAATAAAAGACAAGGACATCACATCATACCAATATGTTGTTAATAAAACAAGATCATGTGCTTGTAAATTAAGAACTGAATTAAGACTTGAGGAATCTGGAATTATTTTTTTTTTTTTTACTGGTCGAAAAAAATGGGTCGGTCGGGGGATGGGAAACCAAACATTTTATTGGGATGGCCTGAGGGAACTAATCTTTTTCAGGTACGTAGGAAAGGGTATAAAATAATACAAAAGCTTGTGACACGGTGAAACCTCGATATAAGGAAGGGCCAAGGGGCTGGCAAAATTTGTTCGTTATTTCAACGTTCTTATTCATATATTTACCCTATAATTACTGGGGTAAAGAAAATTGTTCGTTATACCGACGACTTCGTCATATAGAGGTTCGTTATATCGACGTTCTACTGCATTATAAAAATTGTACCGTTCAGTATAGCTGTTTTGTATCGGAAGTGTTACATAGTCACAGTCTCTCGTTTATTCAGATTTTGATTGTGAAGTTAAAGGTGTGGAAGGTGGGAGAGGGGACTTAAAGTAAATTATTAGTCATTCAAAATATTTCCCCAATTCTGATTGGCTAAAAGCACACGCATAATTCACCATAAACAGTTACTTAAGACCAAATTTGGAAGAATTTTGTGTTTACGGAGGGAATGACGTCAAAAATGCAGCCCGCCACAGGTTAAGGTACTGTTACCGAGAAGACCTGGGGACGAGGTTGAGTTGTTTTGGTTGTGAAAAAAAAAATGGCGGACATTTCACTCGTTTCAAGAGTACGAACTACAGCTGGACTTAGGCGAAATAATAGCTAAAAACAAGGCAAAAACAGCAAGAAGACAACTCCGAGGGCGAAATCTGTTATTTGGAAAATATTTGCAGAGCTGGAGACACCTAAACGTACACTATCGAAGATGAACATCAATGCAGGTAAGCATTTTTTAAACTAGGAATTATTTTGAATGAATAATAAAGCAATTAATGAATTCGGCTTTCGTAGGATATGAAGAATTAAGCAGATCTCGAAGGGTGTTATCCACCTCGGCCTTTGACCTCGGTGGATAACACCCTCCTCGATCTGCTTAATTCTTCATATCCTACTCAGCCTCAATCATTAATTGCTAAATAAAATAACAAATGCAGAAATTCAAAAACGTGAGCCTGCCAAAAAAAACCCTAGCCTGTTTCAGGCTCTCAGGTAGTTCAGATAGCTCAGTTGGGAGAGCGCCGATCTGCCGAGCGGGATGTCGCGGCTTCAAACCCCTGCCGGACCAACACTCAAGGTCTTTAAATAACTGAGAAGAAAGTGCAGCCTTCGTAATGACATCTGCAATTGGTAAGACTTTCTAGTCTTCTTGCATAAGGACGAAAAACCGTAGGTCCCGTTTCACAGCACTTTCACTGATTTGTTGTTGTGGGACGTAAAAGACCCCACATCACTATTCGAAAAGAGTAGGGGTCGTACACCCTGGTGGTGTGGCCAACCTTTACGGTTTGTGGGATTGGGTAGGGATGGCACCTCGCATGGGACCTGAGTCCCGTTTGTGCACATTCCCTCTGGGTAGGCCTGTGTCCAGAGAAGCTGGTACATAAATAGTGAGAAAGTGAAAGGCGCGCGAATAGGGGGCAGGGCGAGAAAAAGTTTCCTCCCGTTTCATTTTCACTGTTCGCACTTTCTCAATTTTAAAAACCCTTGCCTTCCCCACTCGCCACATGGGATTGCCCTGCATGCAGTAGCTAACCTAATTTCGACCCACACCGTAGGAGACTTGAATAGGACAATTGCACGATGATGTCAAATTACTACAACTACGGGCATGCAGGATTTCGGTTTTCTTCCGCAAATAAGAACTGTGGATTAAACTTCCGTGGTATTAATAAATATATAAAATAACAAAGCGAGTGAAAGCAAAAACAAAATGAATTCTGTAGTTATCGTCAAATTGCGTCATCGTGAAAATTACTTTTTAGTGCGCAGCTTCAAGTGAAACCCAAGAACGAAGTACAGTTATCTGTAACGAATGATGCTCCCTAGAGAGTTTGAGGCACTTTGAAAGCAAAATGTCAGTTTGTACCACCCTCACAAATTTGTTCTTCTGCTGCATAACACGCTCCATATTTACAATTTTTAAATTTTGCTATTTTGTGTTGAATTTAATTTATCGAACGATATTGTGCTATCATTTTCAAATGTCGTTCATTCGTAATTAATATAATTTATCATTAATGATGATTGGCTAGAATAACAATTCTTACAGAAGCAATATCACCAGATAATGTATTTTTCAATGCACAGCCGTTTTAGCTTAGTATTCTTTTTTTTTTTTGCAAGGCACAAATATATAAAAAATATATATCCAGACAACTTCTAACTCCTTCGGCTATCTCTAAGCAGGCAACGTTCTCCGCACGTCTTTAGATGGACTCTTCCCTAAAAGGATCATCCACAGTAGGTGACTCTATATTCAGGCAGACGCCTTTCAAAGACCAAGCAGTGCTTGTCTCAGAGAGAACTGAGCGTACTGGATAGGGACAAAGGCTAGTACCTTAGCCACATTCAGGACACCTACCTGAGTCGGACTTAAACATATATCATTAGATGGTCTCAAAAGTGCGCGCGCTCTGATTGGCTGTTTTCTTGTAATGACCGGGCATATACAATCGTGTTTTTAATGAACATCCACGTTATGGTCGATTGACAGCTGTCAAATAGGGTATCAACTAACTAGTGTCACCTGACTGTATCGTGGGCTCAAGTGTACATTGTAGAACTCACTGAGATGATGTGCTTTTTTATTTATTTATTTATTTTTTTTAAGTTAGCCAGTTGTTGGTAGGCTCAGGCCCATACTGAAAGGCCATATAATAAATAACTTATTAACCTCGTCCGTTCGGTCATTACAGGGAAATCTCGGCCTCGGTCTGAGATATCCTTGTAACGACCTCGCTGTCGGTTGATAAGTGGTATTTTTAACTCTCTCTCTTCCCTTCCAGTGTTGTTTTGTGATGTTTTTTGGTCGGTTGACGTGGAGAGGGTGAAAAGAGTCTAACACAGCATTTTTACGGTCGTAATCTGATTGGCCCCAGATATATTTCACGCGTTGTTTTTATCTCTTTACTGCATACCTGAAGTCTACTGCAATGACTTTCTTTACCATTGGACGTAGCGCCCAGAGCTTCCTTGTAACCCGCTTTGCAACGTCTAAGCAATGTAATCTCACACTGATTAGCAGTAGAAGCTGGTAAGAAAAAGACTGTTGCAATAAAGGACAAGCTTAACGTCGGTAACCACCAAGTCATGCTTTAAAGTTTGTAATTTGCAACCAAGGAAGCCTAAAAAGAAAAATTCAAAAAGGAATGTTGATTAGCCCTATCATGACAAGAATAAGCGGATTACAATATGAAACATAAACAAAAATTTAGGCGGTTACATACATACACTGTTTACAGGTAGCCATGATACGAGACCTAAAGGAGGATCATGACGTTATCCCTACATTAAGATCTCTCCTTACCCCATAGCCCACTGACCTCGCCCAGGAAAAGTTGGCCACACGACCGGGGTCCCCTACTCTTTTCGAACAGTGGTATGGGCTCTTTTATGTCCTACAAGAATCAGGTAAGTGAAAGTGCTGGGAGACGGGACCTACGCTTTTTCGTTCTTATCCGAGAAGACTCGAAAATCTAACCGTTGCAAATGTCATTACAAAGGCAACACTTTCTCCTCGGTTATTTTAAGACCCTGAATGTTGGTCCAGCCGAGGTTTGCACCCGCGCGACCTCTCTCGCTCAGCAGAACGGCGCTCGGTGATTGGAAAGAACGGAATTCATCCTTGATAAATTAATAGATCATTTTCACTAACGTGGTCAGCAGCTATGTACTGTTTTAGGATCATTGTACCCTTCTGGGAAACTGCCCACCTATCCCTTCCCTGAGCAAACATTAACACTTACTTCTCACCTAGGGCAAAATTTTCAGTTCAATTCCCACAGGATTTTTTTGTTACATCAATAGAGCTGCCGCTTTATCGGTTTTACACCAACATGGCCACTATGCACGTGGCATCATGTGAAAGGATGTTTTACTTCGAAATGTACACAGGTGGAAACATCCTAACAAAAGCCTCGTGTTCGTTACAGTCACAACTCAAAGATAATTACAGACATGATCTTAAGTACTAGTACTGTTTCTGGTAGAGTGAACTAAACAACAGGTTCCAGCGACGGTTATTGGACTAGAACATTAACTGGCCACCAGGAAAACTAAACCACTGAAGAGATCGCTACATTGGATTTTCTAATTTAACAACAGGAAAAACAAATAAACAAAATGAAACTTAATTATCGTATTTTCTATGCTCTGGCTCGTTACCATTCATTGGGATGTTATTGAAGACTGGTTGCAAGTATAAATCGCAAGCAATATATGTTTATAAGGCAATTAACATTTATTAGGTTAAAAGTGAGATTTGGGCAACATGGATGATTGAAAAAAAAAAAATTGAATTTATTAGGTTTACGCAAAATCCATCTTATGAGTTTGCCTACAGCTTACAATTAGTAGCCCTCACGATCATTTTTTATATTTTAACAGTATTTGAAATTTTTTGATAAAATATCTTTCATGAGAAACGTGATCCTGTCACAAAGCTGCTGTGTTCCATATTTATTTTGAGGCTTTTATATTGACTGAAGTGCGTTTCGACAAAGGATTTCTGTCAAATTTCGTCAATATTTAACTGAAGATTTTAATATATGATCCATTATTTGCATTGCTTATGATGATTTTTACATAGGTAAAACTAAGCGACGGCTCCATGATGGGAAGACTGAACACTTCAAGTCCATAACAAAATGAGATCAATCTTCAGCTATTGCTGACCATATCACTGCAACCGGACATAACATTAAATGGGATCACTTTGAAATCTTAGCATCTGGAAAAACAGAAAATTGTAAGATAAAGGAAACATCAGTTGTTCATACAAGACCTTAAGCCAGATTTTAATGTCAACATCAGCAACGAAAAGCTGATGCTTTTTAGTTGTCGCTTAATTCTTAATCTCATTTCCAAACCCCCTGTAATTTTTGTCCCTTGACATTTTCTTTCAACGGTCACTTAAGATCACTTTTGACAATGTACGTTGAATAGCATACGAAACGTCAAGTTTATAAAATGCAAAAACTCACAATTTTTATCGCCGCTGTTTGTGTTTTATTTTTGATCAAAGAACAAAAGTCTTTAAGTGTTCTCGTATTGCACTCTAAGTACGCATGCTCAGCACTTAAACGCGCGCTGATGTCACGTGATATGAAAATCGACGAAAACAATCAATTTCTACTGACAACTTCCGGGCATTTTCCTCAGATGGTCTGCGCACTATTTCCTTTAAAAGCTTATTAGCTTCATATCTCCTCGTGATAAAGATATGTTAACATGCACAGTAGAGAGATAAAGCAATTCTCTTCAACCACCTTAAAGAATGATGAATTTTTAGGTGTTACACTTATTTAGTTCATTTTACAATTATTGTTATTTTGCTGTAAATAACAGAATTGCGATCTGCACATTCGCCTTTTTCCTTTTTCAAACCTGCTCGTTTAATTCAATCTGCAATGCATCAGAGCCACGGCAACGAAGTGCTACTAGGAATTTATTGAACATCTCGACTCCAAATAACAATATACACTGGTTAGATTAAGACCATACATGATTTCAAATCCATCGGTATTTATCAATGTGTTATCGACGCAATTCGTTCGTTCGTAGCGACCGAAATTCCTAACCAGTTAATTGAAAGCATTTCTGTAATCAATAGCATCAAGTACACTAACTTTTGTTCCGAGGCGTACGTTTTTCTGTACCCTTCTAGTGCTCTTAACAAAAGCCTACTGCAGGTTTTTTTACGGCAGCTAGTCCCTGATAAAATGCATGGTCTTTCGACAAAATACTTCTTCTCCAAAAATCTTAAGGATTTTTCCAGACGTTACTTTTTCAGTCGACGCTTGGCAACGACAGAAGTCAAGTACACTACACAGAAGGCAAAATATACTTTTGTGAAAGTTTTCTGTTATGAACACAATAGCTGCGTACATTTTTTCTTTTCAAAACTGTTCATTTCTGGGATAACAGAGTTCAAAATGTCTTGGTAAACAAACACAGGGACGTCTATTGAGTGAGCCGAGGACAGTTTTCTGAAGGACCATTTATTTTCAACCTTTCTATGGAATCAAAGAAGCTTGATCTGTTCTCTCAAGACGACGTTAAAAATGCAGGTGGATGGTGAAGTCAGTGTTGTTCAAACTATAGTAAGCAAGTATAGTAAGTCGTGAAAACATTATACATTTCTTTCTTGGTCTACAATATACAGATTAAGTTTGAAGGAGTTTCCTAAAGACATCTAAGTTAAGGATTCAGCAACAAGTAAAGAAAATGTAAGCCGACTAATGTCTATTATGAATTGAGTCTTGGCGAACGATATAGGCATGACGCAATCTTGAGTTTAATTAAAAGATGGAAAATTCTCAGCTGCGTCGCTTTAACATAAATTTTAGAAGAGGAATTCAAACAATCCTTTCGCTCTAAAGTTGATGGTGAGCTTTATGCTGCTAGAACATTTAGGTCTGTCACCAAGAGAGTATTAGGTCTGTACCTTATTTTCTTTCATTTAGGAGTTAAACTGAAAGCAAAAGGTTGTCTGGTGTATTTACAGTCCAGGGGTCAATTTAACTAGATTTTTACAAGTGTAATTTACAAGTGTAGCCGTTGTTTTAGAGTCTGAAAAGAACAGCTACACGTACTTGTAAATAACACTTGTACAAGTTTTATTAAATTGACCCCAAGGGCCCGTTTCTCGAAAGGCGCGGAAACTGTTCGAGCCCTAAGACAAACTTTAAAATCCAAACCTGTTGAATAGGTAGCACAGTTGCTAGCCCACAAACCAGAGCGAATCGAATCAGCTTTGCTTTGTTAAATGATAGTTTCATCGCATTATTTTCAAAATTATTGAAACTTTGATCTTGAATGCATTAAAAAAAAAAAAGCACACACAAAACAGCTTTCCGGGCGCGAAAACTTACAGGAACTTTCAAGAAACGGGCCAGATCTGATATAGTACCCCGACAGAGAAGTATCTACATCAGTGGTAGCCTGAGTACTAGCCGGAGTGTATAGAGCAAGCGAGTGCTTCCAGGAATTACCCGAAGATGGATTTTTGCCTGATACGTGTACTTTGGGAAGGCCCATGGGAAAAGCAGTTAAAGAAGTGTCCCAAAAGTTTCTTACTTTCAAGTCATGAGGCACAGATCGCTTGATCGCAAGATCAGACCATGAGAAGAAAGATGAATACGACGCGCAGCGAAGTATTTTTGACGAACTTTGAGGTTTTTGATATTGTGATGGGATACTTTGTCGAAAATGATTTTCAGACGGAAAAATTAAGGATGTAAGGATGAGAAGCTTTTCATCTGATTTCCCGAGACACTCATTAAACATGTATTTTAATTTCATCGTGTTTGTTTATAAATTATTAATGACTTTCAGAGCAAAGTTGAAAACCCAGTTTCACAGCCTGGTTTCCCAACAGACGTTAAGTGGAATGTTAAAATACGACTAAAAAAAGGTCATCCTTTCATTCAGTAGTGCTTTTAATTAACTGAACTCAACAAAAGCCGCATGAAAGAATCCTTATTCTCTGCAATAGACTGAAATTTAGTAATTTCATTAGTTGATCTGATAATGGTTCTAATGAATATCGTCAGATGGTGCTTCTTTGGCCAAGAATTTCAGCCTCGATCAGCCCGTAGGGTCTCATCCGTTGTACATCTCGATTTTGTAATTGTTTCCTTTTTTGGTCACACGATTATTTCTCAGTATGAATAAGATAAATAATATTTGAAAAATAGTTTTAATTTTTACAAACATTTGGCATGGCACTGGAATCTCTAGTAGCTTGTAGTCGATTTCTTGAATCTCTTAGAGAAGAAGCCTGGAAATCATCGTTCAGATTATCGAGAAGTTCGCTGAGGAATTGGGCGGGTAAAAAAAAGCTTTCTTTTACGTAGAACTGCTGGGCTTTTTTAGAAACTGGGGACTCGAAAAATCGAGATTTTTCAGCTGTATTTTATCCAGAATTTAAAGCAGTTATTTCTCTTACCTGGTGCCGACTCCGCTTTGTTCTCCGTTGTATTTTCCTTTGCCGCCAATAATAACTTCTTCCCGGAAAATCTTTCAAAAATATATACCTTTTAACGTGTTAATGAAACGGAAGTGAAATAACTGAAATTAAAGACAAGGTTCAAGGATTGAATGATTGAAAACCTTCGCTCTTTTTGTAATAATAAACTTGTTCACACAGCACAGTGTCCACAATTCCTCGATCTCCGACTGTTGTTTGAAAAGCATTCTAAAAGCGGCCGCTTTCCAATATGATATGGAAAGACAATCGTTTTTCAAATTCGTGTTAATATTCAATTTGTTTCGTATTTGCTCTTTATAACTTAGCATTGTTACCCACGAGTTTTAATAAGCTTACGGGCTTGTCTAAACACAGATGATAACATATGTTTAAAAGTGATTTCAGGCCGCTACGGTTACTTGTACAGTCACTCTTTTAAAGACAGTTGTCGTCGGATTTACTGTCCATAAAGTCAAAGATGAAAGTAAGGCGGGGAACACTTTAAAAAAAGAATCACGTTCCTCGTAGCTTTCCTATCTTTATTTTGTTTTTGTTTTTTTAATACAAATATCAGAGAAAGACTATTTAAAGTCCGTATAAACTCAATTCATGTAGTGCCGGCGCATTAACCATTCATATTTGCTTTTGGGAAGAAGTATAAATTTACATAGAATGTGAATTACATTTATTTACTTTTGGTCTACTCATTGATCCAAAAATGAAAATGATAGTCCACAAAAGTTCCTTACTTCCGCTGAGATTTATTCTGTAGTTCTTAAATTAAAACTTTGAAGTGTACAGCGCACATGAATTAAGATTTAGAGATAAAGTTTACAACTGAATGACAGTTGCTCGGTTTAGGTACGAATTTCCCCTAAATTCAGCAACGTAACGTTGAAGAAATTTCCAAAAATAATAATGATTAAAACATACTTTCAAAGACAGTGACCCAAGTAGTTTTTGTTTTATTTTGTCATAAAGAGAAACCTGATCGAGATAAGAAAAGGAAGATATTAAATAAATGCACATTTATCCCATGTAAGAAATCATATTCAAAAGAGCTCGATCACCATACCACAATGACACCTAACAAGTTAGCTTACTGATCCGTTATGGTGATTGTTTCCTTCCTCTATTCGTCCATTCCTTAGAAAACAACTGCAACAACTATTAAAACGGTAGACTTACCTGCTATCTAAGGTATTCTGTAAGTATAAGTTCACCCAATGAAAGGGTTGCGTACGTCTCTACTGAGGCTGTGGGCATCATATGACACTAGGGAAAAAGGGAAGATATGTGCAAGGGAAGATGTGGTGACTTATAACAAGTAATGAAGGAGGCTGAGTATATTATGAAGAATTATGGAGATCGAGGAGGCTGTTATCCGTCGAGGCCGTATTATTATTGGCACTTGGATATCCAAACGTCACACAGGGGGGTCTTACATGAATATCTTCCATGCATAGATGACGGTCCGGTCGACTGTTTAGGTTAAACGTGCGATCATGTTTATAACTTTTGTCTATTCCTCGACGAGGAAAAAATTAATCCATTATTTACCACAGCAGAAATGGAATGTTCTCCTGTTTGTATTTCGCCGGACTAAGATTTATTCTGATTTTACGGCAGCCTGATTCTATGAGTGAATATTCGATTATAGAAATTGGTAGGAGGACTATATTAGCTTTAAACTTTTCTTTGCTCTTTATTTCATCTTAAATAATTGTCCTCTCGATTCCCTTTATCCCATTTTCTATACAAGTTCAATTGAGTTTCCTCTTCACGACACCTGAGAGAATCGTACGTCTTCCAGTTCCAAAGCCAGTATTTACATGCTTTCAGAAGGAAACTACTGATATATTTCTCATAGTTGTTTGCATTTATGTACAACCTGAAGATGGCATTCTTTATACACATATATCTATTTACATATTACGCCAGTTTACCGTTAAGGAGCTACTTTTACCATTAGAATTCAATTAAACATAGGATGTGTGCAGTTCGAGAAATTGATATAGATGCATAGGTCAACATCATGATAGCACAATCTACTATTTTTCAGAATTTGTATTTTCTTTCCATCGAAATGATAAATAATCATTATAAAGAAGACACGTCTATTCAACAACCAAACATAGACATAGGGTACACCGTGCGGTGAGTAGATCTGCCATTAACGATACCATAACGTACAGGCAAAAAAACCTTCACAGAAAATTAAGTCAACCTACTAAAGCTCAAATGTTTTGGATGACTAATCACATATGACATGGGTTGAAATTTTCAAAGAGAAATATGTATGCGATAAAAGATTTCTGAACTCTTTCTGGGTTTTGCACTCGAGTAAATCAGTTTTTCAATTAGCGGAGTTTTTAGGGTCGCATACAACTGAACGATGTTAATAGTCTTAATATATGTACGATTATTGCCTATAAGTAATAATATATGTTATCTTTAATTATCTGTTTATACTCTTATGTTCCCAGGGTTTATTGAATAATAACGTTTTATCTTGTAGAGTACTTTCTAAACTAAGGCCTACGCCAAACGTCAAACTTTTCATGAGACGAACCAAACTTAGTGAGTTAAGTTCTTAAAAAGTTCGACGTCTGGCTCAGTTATGTTCGTCTGAATGAGTTTGGATTGTCCAACACGTTCCAATCTATCTGTGTACTTCGGACGGATAGAACGTCTGAAGATCGTCTTCGGGACAAAAGTCGATCTTCACATGTGACTATTTTTAAACTAATAAACTAAAAATTTGTATGATAATGTATATTTAGCCTTGTTCGGGAGAAAGTTAATTACTCAGTTGATTGGTTCATCGCATCCTAAGTTTGACGTTTGACCCAACAGACTTAGGTTCGTCTTATGAAAAGTTCAACGTTTGCTCCAAGCCTAAGAAGATTTAACTTGAGTGTTTACTTCTTCGGCTCGTTTTCATTTAAATCAACGTTAGTATTTCCTTAGTATGTTGTCTTTAAACACTCCGTTTACTTGAGGGAATTTTCAAGAAGTGATATAATAGTGAAAACTTCGTCTTAATATTTGACCTCGCTTTACTGCCTCGTAGTTTTACAAAACAATGCATACGTTAACAAAATCTGTATAACAGCTAGAGACTTGACTCATGAAGCAATATTATATTAATGTCCCGTTCACACTCAACTGGAAAATATTCACTTACACCGGGCTTAATATGAAGAAAAAGTGGCTTTTACAAATGGATGAAGTAACCTTTAACTGTGGTATACTTTCCGCGCTTTTGTCAAGTTTGCAGAAGAAAAAATTCAGTAAGAAGCTCAGTGTTATCAAGAGAACAATTCTAAACTGTACTTAACTAAATGGCGTTTGATCGTGTTATCGGCTTTGGCCTGCAAGGGGAAGTTAATACTTAAAGATACATTTAAACCTTGGAGGTCTTTGTGGATCTGACCCACAGGATCCAACGTAGCCACCTAGTATGTCCCCCTGTGGGCTAGCTCGGGACGTTTCGAGAGAAAGACTCTCGAGAAACTTCCCAGAGGACAGTCCTTGATATTGTCCTTGATAAGGTTCTTCAATCCCGTCATCCCGACCCCAAGTTTCGCTCAATCCCGTAATCCCGAGGGATATTCTTAGCATCCCGCATCCTGCGATTGTTTTCCATTGCTTTAAAATCCCGTGTCCAAGCTTTCAAATAAGGCAAATCCCGGATCCCGAAAAACTTATTGGAGACATTTCCAGAGGTAGGGAGCGAGCAGAAGCGGCTTGATTCGCCGACTAGACTATCAGGCATCAGTGGTATAAATATGTTAATGTTTGCATCTATTTACAACGTGTCCATATCAATCCCCCGGCATTCCTCAAACCATGTATCGCTTCTAGTTGCATTTTAAAATCGGGTTTCGTACGTCACTTCGTCAGATTCGCTGGTTTTTTTGGACAAGTCACGAAAGAATCCCTTTATACCTCTACGGGATGGGTCACGTTCCAGAGTAGAGAATCCAGACCACTCATTGGTCCTCTTTGTAACACTGTCGACTGCTGGTTGTTTGAGGCAGCTGGCGAGTAGGCGTTTAAGTCCTTTGCGATAGCTTTCGTTAAAAACGAGATAAATGCATGGATTAATGGCGCCATTGACGTGAGAAGGTACAAAGAGTGACCACACAAGAAACAGGGGCCAGCACTCTAACTTGTTGTAGGCGAATGCTATCATAAAAAGAGCAATGTAGTTTGGAATCCAACAAAATGCAAAAAGAAAAACGACGGAGACAAGCATCTTGATCACAGCCACATTTTGCGCCTGTACTCTGACCTGTGACATATTCTCGACAAAGACTTGTCGCTTCTTTAAAACGAGAATGGTCAAGAAGTACATTACAGCCATCAACAGGAGAGGCACGACGTAGAAAAAAGTAAATTTAGCTCCCACCTCAATCTTGTAGTACCTAAGATTAGTTTCCAGATCGTCGGACCACCGGCCAAAGCATTTGTAGCCTTTGTTCCCTCCACGTACTCTGTATTTAATAAAAACCGTACACAGCGGTGCTGCAGCAAGCAGCCACAACAACAGGACAACCAACTTGACGTTCCGTTTAGAAAGGGGTTTTCTAAAAACGTGGGCCATGGCCAGATACCTGTCCGCAGAAAGGGCAATCAGAGTAAAAACGGACGCAGTAAGAGAGACCATATTGAAAAAATGAACAAGCTTGCACGTGATGTCGCCTATCAATCCTCCAAACCATCGGTCTCCGCTATACATTACCAAAACCGAAATTGGCACAGAGACGAGGGCGTCAAAAATATCAGCGACGGCCAGGGATATAATAAAGAAATTGAATGGCACTTTACGAATTCTCTTCCTTGTTTTAGCGATAGTAATTATGGCACAATTTCCAAGGAGGGCGATGATCGCTATGACGGCATAAACAGCGGTCAAAACGATTTTTGTGGCGATACTTGGAGAACTAAGGGAACAACGGAGCATCACTGTTGAGTTGTTCATCTCTGCAAAAGAATTAACACAAAAATATTCGCTTTTGACTATAATTATAGATACAGTACAAAATAGTACAAGACCTTCAATTATTGGTTTGTCCAAGAGTAGGCTTTTTCATAAGCAATGACATCTTCAATATAAATGTTTACATTAAAGGTGATGTTACATGAGACGATTCGCAACGACGATTTTTAGCGGAACACAGAGTTGCAAAATTCGGAACATTGTTGCGACATTGTTTCGAATAGTTACAACATTGTTCCAACATTGCAACGCTCTGTTGCGCAAAAACTCTTCGTTGCGAATCGTCCCGTGTAACATCACCTTAACATAATGAAGCATTCCAAACTTACTAGATTCTTTCGAACTGTCAGTTCTTCACAGTAGGATTTTAGCCAGGTGGATATTTTTTAAGTAAAAATTCAACTCGAAACCGGACAGACGACACAAATGAGACAGTTTTTTTCTTCTGGGTATATGTTTGATAGTCTTGTGAATCATATTTAACAAGTCGTTCTGCCTTAGGGGAGGGGTAGGTGGGCAGTTTTCCAGAAACCTAAATTGAAAAAAGGTATTTGAAAACGTTCAACAAGAACTACTAAATATACAAAATCCTTCCTTTAAGATATTGGTCCTTATCGACAATCGACTTCTTTTGTTTTTGATGATACACTTATTTGCTTAAAATGGGTGAAAACGTAGCTTTGGATCAGTTAAGTTTAGGCATCATATAAGTATGTAGAATACACTTTGCGTGGTGTGATTCTCAGGCAGTAAAAGACGTTTTTCCGCTGGCGGTTTATGTTCCAAAAATGTCATCGTCTCCTTTTCGCAAAACTGAAGATATCTTGGCCAAGGTTTATCTATCTGATTAATGTCCTTTAATGGCGATTTTATGACAGCCGTGTCTAAAGGAAAGTCTGCAACTTCAGTATGCGCTGCACCATTTCTATATTAACTTCAAGGTTAGAAGTAACTGTTGAGTGTGATTTATTGAAGACTTATTTAAACCTTGTTCTGTGCAGGCGATTTTAACGTAGGTTAGAAACCGAAACTTTGCTTTTTGAAAGCAATTTCAAGAAGAAAGTAGGCGAGCAAAGTGAGAGAGAAAGAGACTCACCCAGCAAACATCCACTGCATGAAGTTTGTACGTCCGCGTCAAGTCCAAATGGGAATGTAGTTTATTTTGTGGCAGATCAAAAAGGAACAATGAAGTGCTCTTGGAATTTCCTCCAAAAAATAAATAATTACGGTAAATGTATAATGTATGATAACATTAATTTAAATGAGGAAGGAAGCAACAGAGCCAAAGACCATCAAAGAGCCGAATATTTGAATAGTGTCTTGCCGCCGCTGCCGGTCCAACCCCCTGGCAGCTGTAAATGAATTTTTTTTGTAAAGCGTTCACAGATATAATGTTCAAGAAATTCCTCATTTCAGTCACGAACCTAAAAATCTATGGAGAAAATAAAGAAAAACCATAGAGACAGTATTCACCAACCTAAGGTTATTCATTTATGAAAAGGGACATGCAAAATGTTCAGCTTTTCTAGCTTCCTCTTTTCTTTTTACAGTCTTTTATAATGTTTCCATGTATAAATTAATTGTTTCTTGTCTAACTTATATGAAAATATAGTAGCAATTCATTAATGCTTTGCAAACATTCATTTAGGAGAGCCATAGTCATAACTTTTCATTTATTGCAGTTAAAAGAAGACAAAGTGTCTGATAAAATTGTTTTATCTACTAATAAAACTGACGAAAGCGGTACAATCATAAAGGCTAGGGGAAGCTATGTTTAATTGTATCGAATATTTTCTTTTAAAAAAAAAATGAAACGTATCAATCTAGTTTTTAAGTAGCCCTTCTCTGATTGGTAGATTCTGTCAGCCCACACATGAGGCCCACGTAAGAGGCGTATCGTTACTGTGAAGAATACAGTCATGCTAATTATACACAGTTTCACCTGGAGACTGAACTTTTATATTGTATACGAAAACGGTAACAAGAAATTAGCGGTTATATTGATCTTCTTGGCGATCCATAGTAAATGAAATCCTCGGTCCTTTCTCCTTATCTCAAGACTTATTTTATTTACGTCAACTAACGTGATTTTAGCGACTGTTCAGTAAATCACAAAATCTATAGTTGCCTTTAGATAGTAATGTGTACTCGCAAAATTTCAGCCAAATATGTGCAAAAATCAGCAAACTGGAAATCACTCGCAAAATACGAATCAAGTTTCCAACTCGCAGAATGGTGCATGGCACTGCGCCAAAGTATTAGTACCCCTGAGGTACTACCATAGCTCCATTACCTTGATTTGATTGTGAGTAATTGAGTGGGTAATATCTGAGGAGATTTATTCGAGAAAAAGTGACTGAATAATACAGATTTCCTTACCGAGTAAAATAAAAACATTTAGCCAAGTCATAGTTTTTCTTTTTTTTCTTTCCATGTTTTACGCTCCGTTTTGATCCTAAAATGAAACAATTAAAAATTCCAGTAGGCATGTGCGATGGCTATACGCCTATACTCCAAATAAATGGTGGTAATCAGGGGGAATAAGAGGGCTCTGTCTTTTTTTAGGAAATCTTGTGGCCCCTAAATTCACTACAAAATATTCTATTTATGGCTTATTTATCGAGTTCACATCCCAAAGGATTCAGGAACGTCCCTAAACTCCGATAAGACGTTTTGATTATCGTGTTCGCATCTTAAGGGAATCGTTTTAGATATCGAAAAACGCAATTTTGGCTTTTTGAAACCGATACCTTTTTCCGGCGAAAAGGGCAAGATAGCAACCTGTCAAAAACAAAACATGTACAAAATTGTCTGGATTTGCTTTTAAATGGCACCAGGCATTATATTTTTAGCCCGTTATAAAAGCAAGGGAGACACATAATAGGTGATACGGGGTAGTTAAAATTTTCATTTGTTTGCATTGAGTTGATCATGAAATCGTTTACTCGCCTATTCAACTTTTGTTTTTGTTTTGTTTTTCATCTCGCCTAAGGAAGATTCACCTACATCTAAATCTTCAAAGATTTAATACCGTATGATTTCGCAAAAAGGCAAAACGCTTTCTACTTAAAAATATGATAACACATTATTATTGTTATTTCGCTGTTGCCCCCTAGTTTGTCTAAATGAACGAAGAGACATACCATAAGATGTTTTCCTAGAACTGCAATTGAGCAGCGAAAAAGTAACTAAACGGAGAAAGGAAAGGAAGTTAATGTAATTAGCTAAGCAACCACTTAATTTTGTTTTTTTATTGATTGAGGCTCGCTGGAAAAAATGAATCACCAACTTCGTGGAGGGAAAGCGCACCGTTTTCTAATATAAATATGTGCAGATCAGGTTTATACCCAATACAATAAAGGCTTTATTAGCATTATTGGTTATTGGCTTATTTGTTAAAGGGCATTTTGGCCCTCGAATTAACTCCGCAATGCTATTTACTTGTCATGAGCGTCTTGATGAGTGACCACCAAATGATAGCAATGCTCTATGCCCAAAGCAACTTTCATTGAATCAGCTGCTTGAGGCTAACAAACGAGAATTTCAAGCTGTCCAAGGGAGAAAAAAATTGATATTAATTTTAAAAAAGAATATTTATTTTTATTTTTATTACAGCAAAACGATTTGATACACAACTAAGCCTTGTATCCATCAATTTGGAAGCATATATTCTAGTTTACATAAAGTGTATGTATCTTAATCTGCAACTACAATGTAGCCACAAAAAGGTAGAATAAAACGATTCAAGATTGTTGGAAAACGACCTTTTTTGTTAAAAGCTTGACATTCCTTTCTTGGTGCCAGTAAAACTCAAACCCATTTAGATCGGGGAGGCTTTTTTTGGCTTTTTTCACTGCGAAAGTTAAAGATTCAAAATGCGTTAGCCAACTTCTTGATTTCATCGCACACCTTACTATTTTTATTAGTATTTTTGCCCAGGGGAGAAATTGAAAATTGGGTCCCGTCAATAAATTCACTAATATGACATCATAATAGACCTTTGTCACGCGGCCGCCATTTTGTCTCAGGAGATTTAAAAAGCTTTGTTTATGCACGGCTAGCCGTGCATAAACAAAGCTTTTCCTGATCTCCCGAGACAAAACGACCGCCGCGTGACAAAGGACTATGACGTCCAATTATTGTTATTGTGTCAATCAAGTTATGCAGTTAGATAATGGAAATGATAAACACCTTATTCTGAATATATTTGGAGGTGGCCTTATCAGGAGCAGTCTTGAAGTTATAGAGGGAGGCCTCGGAAGCACCCCCCCCCCCCCCCCCCCCCCCCCCCCTGACTAGGAGTGCAATTTTGTGTGTTGTTTACACTCAAGTTAGGGATTGAGAAAAGGGAAAGGAAAAACCCTTTATTCTAAAAATTTTGGGGGGGGGCCTTTTAGGGGGCAGTGTTTAGGTTAAAGGGGAGGGCCTCGGAAGCCCCCCCCCCCCCCCCGGCCTGGTCGCAGGAAGGAAAAAAGATCGCACATATGTTCCCACCCTTCTTCTTCTTCTTCTTCTAATGCAAAATCATGTCTCTGAAGTCGCAGTGGACTATGATATGGCGACGGAAAATATGAGTACGACTCTCAACTCTGAGATTTCAGCTGGTTATAGCTGCAAAAAAGAATTGCAGATCTATTTTTTAGGTCGAAATTCAAGTAAAGTAAAGTAAAGTAGCATTCAGAAGGATTGGTTTCTTCTAACCTGCGTTTTAAAATCGATCAATGTCTATAAATATAGTTGACCAAGGTAAAAATTAACTTTTTTTGCAGGAGCCACGTGCACTTGGCTACTTTTTGAATATTTGGAAGTGGTGGCCATACACTATTAAAGTATCAGCACTAAGAAAACAAACAGAAAACAAAACAAGTAGAAGACGGTTTACTCAATGTTATTTGAGTGACCTCCAAATTTACGATGTTTTAATCTAAATGATTCCAGCAGAAACGACTTGAAATCCGGATTTCAACGCTAAGATATCTGTT